TTGGCATGGCTTGACCATATATGAGACCTCAAAGGTCACCTTCACAGTGGCACACTTCCTCCAACAAGACCACACCTTTTAATAGTGCCACTCCCTTTGGAGGCCATTTTCTTTCAGACCACCAAACACAGGAGATTGCTCTTACATCTAGATTTTTGAGGCAGGACCTATGCATCTTAGCAGCAAATATAATCCGGCTTGGAGTTATCCATGTCTCTTTGCAGCTGTTGTCAGGGTGGAGTTTTCTTTTCCTGCCTCATAAGGTATAAGGCGTTCAGAAGATGCCTCTGTGCTGATCCGGACAACCACTGCCTCCCTCCCATTCTTCTCCCTGTGAGCCACGGTGGAATGGATTACTTTTAAACCTACACAGTTTCCAGAGTCTGCTTGCTCAGTGATACTTGCCTCTTGACATGACTTGGGAGACAAAGCTCAGCAGACATCAGGCTGGAGAGCATCTGTCCTTGGGAAAGATGACCATTGTGCCTGGAAAGATATTTGAAGCTGTTCCTATCAGAACACTCAGTGATCTCAGAGAAGAAAAAATTCACAAGGCCAGGTGGTGGTGGCACACACCTTTAATCCCAGCACTTGGGAGATAGAGGCAGGCTGATCTCTGTGAGTTTGAGGCCAACCTGGTCTACAGAGCTAGTTCCAGGGAAGACCCCAAAAAGCTACAACAAAACCTTATCTCAAAAAAAAACCAAAGAAGAAGGAGGAGGAGGAGGAGGAATGAAGGAAGGATGGAAGGAAGGAGAGAAAGAAAGAAAGGAAGAAAGGAAGAAAGAAAAAAAGAAAGAAAGAAAGAAAGAGAAAAGAAAAGAAAAAAGATTTCAAAATGATTAGTCAACTAGTCAAGCTTTGGGGGTGCGTTCAGAGTCCAGCAAAGAAAAGACTGGTAGATAGGGGAGCAAAGCATGACTCTGGTTAAAAAAGCAAATTTTGTCACATTCCTCAGATTTGATTGGCTTTTTCACAGTTGCTGAAAATGGCGATAAGTCTGAAATAACCACAGCTTGTAGCCAATAGTGATTAAGAAATAAGCAGGATGCCCAGGTCCTTCTGAGGGTGTTAGAGCATGATGCACAATGGGCGATTTTATGTTTCTCACTGGGGGCTTCTCCCTTCAACTGCCACCAAGGGACTAATGAGTGTGATTAGAGCCCTAAGTAGAATAGTTCTCTTGCCCTCCAAGTGTTTGTAGTTATATCAAGAGGCCATGCATATACTTAAAACTCAAACATGCAGATTGCCTTACAGTAAGGCTAACCACTTGTAAGGCAAAATGCATCCTCTTTCCCCTTCCCTCTGGTTCCACTTTCTCCTCCCACGGTTGTTTTCATAGTATTTAACCTGAGTAAGATACATTTAGCTCTAAAACTGAGACTTAAAGAAACCTTTACATTTGGTCTTAAGGGTGAGTGGTGACCCCCTAAATAACTGGAGATCTTTGTCTTGGTGTGTAGCATGAGGGGCCGGCTTGTTGGGGTTTCTGTCCCGCCCAGTACCCCACAACCGGCAAACCCCAAAGAAAAATTACACACAGGACTCCATAAGGTTATAAACTGATTGGCCCATTAGGTCAGGCTTCTTGTTAATTCTTATAACTTATATTAACCCATTATTCTCATCTATGTTAGCCATAATGGCTCCGTACCTTTCTCAGCTGGGCAAGTTACATGCTGCCTCTTCAGTGGTCTGCGCAGGAGTGGCGGAGGGAGCTTCCTGCTTCCCAGAAAACTCCCAGTCTCTTTGCTCCACCCCTACTTCCTGTCTGGCTTTCCCGCCTATACTGCCTGCCTGGCCAATCAGCATTTTATTAAAATATGGTTGACAGAATACAGACAATTCTCCCGCATCATTGGTGACTAATTGTATAACATTGTGTCCTGATGGCTGCCCCAGAAGCAGTGGCTCACCAGGAGAATGGATAGGGTTGCTATCTGGTGTAGTAAAATGGCCTGAAGCAAAATCAGGAGAGAGAGGCACAAAGGGAGAGGGGCAGAGCCCTGTGGGAGCTGGTGGGAGTGGCCATGCAGACACTCCTGCCTTAACAGATATTGGGTGAATCATGTCCTTCATCTCACCCACTCAGAGAGGGAACCTCAGTACAGCTTCTCAGAATACCAAGTTCCCAAATGCTAACAAAGAGCCACTGAAGCCTGGCTGTGGTGATGCAGGCCTCTAATCTCAACATTTGGGAGACAGAGGCAGGAGGTTGTCTGAGTCCAAAGCCAACTTGGTCTACAGTCTCCAGAGTGAGTTCCAAGACAGTGAGGGCTACACAGCAAAACCCTGTCTCCAAACAAAAACAAAAACAAAAACAAAAGCAAGCAAGCAAACAAAAAACCCAGCTGACACTGAAACAAGCCTGCGTTCTGCACACCTTGTCCAGGCTTAGCAGTGGCTTGTAGACTACTGGTCTGAGAGTTCAAAGTGTCTTACAGGTGGATGTCAGCCTTCTACACGTCCCATAGGATCGTGTGTATGTGCTGTGTGCATACATGTCTGTGTGCATGCATGTGTGATGATCTGTTGTGACCTGTGTGCTGTGGCATGTGTATAGTATGTGTGTGTGTGTGTGTGTGTGTGTGAGAGAGAGAGTGTGTGTGCATGTGTGTGCGTGTCAGTGTGTGCCCAGGCACATATGAATGTAGGTACACATGTGTATGTCTGTATACTGGTGAAGAAATGCCAGGCTTAGTCTGGCTCTAGACAGGGTCTCTGGTTCTGTGTACCATCACATGTTCACTAGTTTCGGCTGTAAATTTTCCAAGTATCTCAAGCCTGATTCCTGGCACTGAAACAATCCTTAGGCTGGCCCATGGTGACTGATTTACTTCCTGCAGTGTAAATGATGACTTTGCATCCCTTGCTCCTTCGTCCAAATGTTCCCCCACCTGGCTCCAGGCCACTGGCTGTCAGACCACCTGTGCTGGAAGCTCTGCCCATCCCCTGTCCTTCCTGTCATACTCACAGACACACTGCCCACCCCTGGCTGTCTCTTAAGTTACAGATTGTGATGCCAGCACCCTTCAGCCTTCTGCTGTCTGGGAGCTGTCATTTCCCTGCGCCCCCTTTCCATCTCTTGGGTCCCCAACATACTTTTTGCCATTCCTCCATCTGATTGCTGCAATTATAGGCTAGAAACACTCTTAGACCTTTGAAGGAGTTACTGGAACTTTAGGATTGTGTGTTGATTTTTGTTTTGAGGCAGGTAAGCTGGCCATTTTCTCAATATATTTGAGGATATTCTGTTGATGAGACTCTGTGGCAGGGTCCCTCTGCCCTCTCTCCTCACCTTTGAACTATTTTTCAGCTCTCAGTCCCCTTATGGCCTACAGGGCATGAGTTATTCTTTGCTGTCTACTGAGCATTTCCAGGAAAGCATCATCAACTTCTGCTTCCTTAAGTCTCATTGGTTTCATGTGTTAATACACAGGTGAATTCCAAGCTGATGTCAAGTGATACCTCAGGGAAGACGTGTGCACGCGTGTGTGAGTGTGAGTGTCTCCAGGACAGTGGGAGCAGACAGTTTCCAGACATGTTTTCAACACTGCCCCCTTTCCATGTAACTCCACGTATATTTTCATTTAAATATCCATGTCTAAAATTGGAATGAATTTAGGAAAAATCATTTCATTAAAACATGACCACTGTTGTTTGTCAGTAATAAGGAGACCACAACCTGGAGGGACATGGCTTGAGCTGTTTCTCCCTCATTATTTTCCTTTCCCAACACTTCAGCGTCTGCTCTCCTGCTCTAACACGGGTTTGTGGATAAGAACTAGAAGTCACTGCTACTGTCTGATGTAGCTGCAGGTAGCTATGCAGCTCTCTGGTGATCTGGGTGGCCTCCAGTTGGTTAGTGCTGTATTCAAAACCTTGAAATAAAATATATCATGCTCTTTGGATACTTTTAATAAAGTGAGGTTTACATTAATAATCACACACACACACACACACACACACACACACACACACACACACACATAAAACCTCTCAGTAGAGAAGTCCCAAAAAGCACATGAGAAACAGGAAAACATGAATGGGAGAAGGGGGAGTCTGACATGTGATCAGGTAGCCTTGAGATCCAAGCAGACAGCATAGTGGCCACCCCGGCATAGAGGGGCCCTAAAATTATATGGAGTCAGATCGTTTGTAACTTAAAATGTTCAAGAACATTTTAAAAGCAAACAAACATGGGTGTTTCCTGCTGAGGACATAGGTGGCGGTACACACCCTTTCTAAGCATATGCATGCCTGGTACCCAGAAGCCTCCATGTACATGACATGGGACATGAGGCATTGGGTATTGTTAGAAGATCATGTCCTCCTGTCACACGTGGTGCTGTTTTGGGATCAGACTTCTTGGAATGCAAACAGTCATAGAACAGGCAAAGACATACATGTTGCAGAGGTGTTGCCCCTGGTCCCACAGGCTTTCAGTCTTAAAGAAACACGCAATGGCTTGCATGGATTATAAACTGGTTGGCCTAGTAGGTCAGGCTTTCTTACTAACTAATGCTTACATCTTACTTATCTGTGTTAGCCACATGGCTTGCTACCTGTTATCACCAAGGCATTCTCATCTTGCTTCCTCTTAGTTTGGGTTTTTATTGAACCAGTACAACTGACAAATCTTTACAGAGTACAAGACCATTGTATCATAGCACTATGTAGTGCTGTCCCGCACCAGGATGGCCTTTGTACAGCAGCATTCAAACAGGACCAGAGATTCAAAGGGGGGAGGAAAGAACCTGTTTGAGCCAAATAACAATGAATTATTGTAGGTTTATGTGGACACTTCTGACCCAGCATAGTCTGCGAGAACATCTGGGAAAAGCCCCTACCACATCTGTTAGCCACACTGTGTGGATCACTGTAGTCCTGTCATTTCTCTGTTCCAACGGGCAGGCCTCAGGATTGTCCAGGAAAGGGCATTCACATTTCTGTTGTATGCAGGATATGATAATTTTACTTGTTTTTGTTTTCCACAGGGTCCATCCTGCTGGGAAGATGTCTTAATTCCAAACCGGATGAGTGGCGAGTGCCAATCTCCAGACTGTCCTGGAACCAGAGCAGTAAGTCTCTGACTAAATTAATTACTTACAAATTTAAAATATAACTGCCTCCTCGGGGTTTACTAGGAGATTAGGAGAGAGGCCAGAGGTGTCAGCTGACTTCCTGCAGCCAGTGATCCTATGAGAAGTGGTTAATGTTCAGATGTGCTGGCAGCATTCTCCAGACTCTCCCTGTGGTGTTAGCTTCACTGTCACTTCCCCGGCAGCAGCCACCTCTGGTGATGTACAAAGGCAATGAGGAGAGCTCAGAGTGGGAGAGGTGCTGTCCACCAGGATGAGCACACAAATTTGTTGTCCCTTGCCAAATGCTCAGCCTGAAAGCATACATGCAAGTAGCATTATAAGGACCGAGCATGTTATATCTAGTAATGTGTGTATATACATACACATATAGATGTATGCATACAATAACAGTGGAAAAAGTGGCCTTGAATTTGCTCTCCAGTGTTCATGAGATCTTATTTCAAAAACCAAGGTAGAGAGTTATTTAAGGATAACATCCAGGTTAATCTCACAGGTACCTATTCTGATGTTTGCCCACACAACACACACACACACACACACACACATACACTCACAGGTTGAGTGCTCAGTTCCCAGTACTGCCCGCAGCTTAGATGCCATTTGCAAGCCCCATGCTTCTCCTGAAATTCCGTCCAGCCAGATAGAAATTGGGGTTCCTGCAGCCTCTTCTGCTGGGTTTGATTGTTCCGGGAAGCCCTTACTTCCCAGAGACAGACAGTCACAAACCTGATTTTTAACATACAACAGACACCGCCTGGAAGACCACAACCATCATAGGATGTGCCTGCTGGGAAGCAGGAACACAGACTCAACTGTGCATTTCCAAAGTCACGCTGAAATGTGCCCTCGGAGGTGGTTAAAGAAATGTCAAAGAAGATCTGGTTCTGAGCCTAGCGAAAGACAAATGAGATAGAATGGCATTTTTTCTCCCTGTCCTGTAGCTCATGTTTCTATTCCACACCTGCCAAATATTCATCTTTTGGTTCATCTCTTTCCCTTCTTGCTGCTTTCTGAAGTGATGGGAAGTTAGAAAATGCATCATGGCTGATGGGTTCTATGACTGAAATGCCGCTACTGCCTTTCTGTGTGCCTTTCCCTCTTCACAGCACACACTTCACATGGAGGAGACGCTTTCCAGAGACCCTGGCTCTAAAGTTTTCTCTTACGTGATGCTTATCGCTGTCAGCATGTTTATATCATTTGTGTAATGTAGTACATTCAATCTCAGAAACCTCAGGCCAGTCCTTCTTTGGCACTATGCATTCCTGGAGCTATAAACACTGTCACGGTGCCAACACAAATGTCGGTGCTAGTTCACAGACTGTCACGGCCAGTTGGCAGTTCATATCTTCTCTAAGGAGCAAAGTCTGTCAACAGCAATAGGTACAGTGTTTGAATCGTAACATGGGCCTGCTCTCGCCAGCCTTCCTGGTGATGGCAGGGATCCTGAGAGTGGGGAGCAGCAGGCAGACAAGCATTCTCCATCACAATGGGCTCCAGACCACAGACAGATTCTTTATGAATGCCAAGGCCAAAGAAAGAAATCTTAAGGAAAATGATGACCTACATGTCAGTCACAAATGTCAAATCATGATGGAGCTTTATGAGTTTCTCACTGGTGTAAAATTAAAGTATATTGTTTTTAGATCAGAATTCTTAAGTATAATTAAGTTTGCATGTGTATGAATATGTATAATTATGCTATATATAAAACAATAGATGTGATTATATATAATTGAGAAATGTATGAGTGTTGAGATATATATACATATGTATCAACAGATGGAATGATAAACAGGTAGATAGAAAGATGGTTGATATATATATACATATATGTGGTACTTATCTGTATATGTATATATATACATATATACCATCTGTATATGACATCTTGAACTCTATATATTTAAAATTCAAAAGAACAGAGTTCCTAATCTATTCCTAATTAGTATTTATATATTTAAATATAGTCTAACTAGTTCACTTTCACTAGCATCAAGATTTAACCTCAGTTATTGAAGTAATTAATATGGAGACTGAGGAGATCGCTCAGTTGGTAAATGCTTGTGCTACAAATGGAAAGACCTGAGCTTGATTCCTAGAGTGCACATTTTCAAAAGGCCAGGTATGGTGTCACATACTTGTTATGGCCAGTGCCAACGAGGCTGAGAAAGGTAGATTTCTGAGGCTCTCTGGCCAGCTAGCCACCTGCTTGGTAAATTGTAGGCTCAGTGAGAAATCCTGCCCTGAAGCAAAAGATATGGATAGCATCTGAGGAAGGACACTGAGATCCTTGTGTCCCCTGAATCCGCATACATGCACACAAAGGAGGATATGAACAGCATCTGAGGAAGGACACGGAGATCCTCGTGTCCCCTGAATCCACATACATGCACACAAAGGAAGATATGGACAGCATCTGAGGAAGGACACGGAGATCCTCGTGTCCCCTGAATCTGCACACATGCACACAAAGGAAGATATGGACAGCATCTGAGGAAGAACACTGAGATCTGCGTGTTCCCTGAATCGCATGCACGCACACAAAGAAAGCAACACATAAAAATGCAATTCACCCTAGCGCACTTTAGACAGGGCACACTGCACTGGCTCAAGTGTACAGTAATAGCTGTGATCTTATGAAGGAGCGTGGCATTTGTTTTGAAATCAGCATACAGGGAATTTGCTTCAGATTAAAAGTGGACACAATCAATTAAAATTTTCTGTGCTGGTACAATTAATTCAACTTTGGATATGGCAGAAAGCTTCACATTTGCTATGCAAATTCCTTTATATTTTGCCTTCTTTAGTAGTCTTAACAGTTGAGATCATGTCTCTACTGTGTCTGTCTGTCTGTTGGAGAACATGTGTTTATCTCGGTTACACACACATAGACTAAGGAGAACCCAGAGGTCCTGATGTCTCCCGAAGGCATGAAGTCCTACTATCAAACATTTCCCTGCCCTGCCCCATGGCCTCAGTGGTATTCTGTGTACAGGAGGCATTTCTCGGGCAGCTGCACTGTGAAGGGACCCCATTAACCCAAATACATGCTCATGCATCAGTGGGGGTGTCTCAGGGGACCGCAGGTCAGCTGTGTGTGGAGGGTGGCAAATGAAAGCAGAGGCAAACCAAACGAGGAATGGACTCGTTCACTCCCCTTTCGTTCTGCCCTGTGGCTCCACAAAAGACAAATGCTTGTCCTGTCCTTAGACTGTTCTCCTCAGTCATATTTTCTTAATTCTAAATAAAATTGAATTGTGAAAGCTTTGGAGTCAAACTCAGATGATGATTGAATGGTGTCTGAGCGTGACGAAATGTTCTCTGTTGTCTGACATGCTATTTGGGTGACAAACTAGAAACTTCTAAGGGCATTTTTCAAAAACCAATCAAGCATTCAGACTCAAGGGCAGCTTATATCTAAACCAAGTTTTCAGTGTCTGATAAGAAAGTTTCCTGTTCTTTTCTGAGTTGCTGAGTTATTTTTATTATGATGGAACTGGATATCAATTAGCAAATTTGAATAAACACCAAATTTTTGTTGATGTATGAAAATGAACTAATCTAAGAAGTATTATTTTAGGGTACTTTTTATGCAATTCTTTTGATCGTTATTACTCCCCACTTCCCCCATTGAACTCAGAAGTGTGATTTTTAAAGATGCAAGAGGAGGTTAGGAACCTGCACTCCTATGGCAAGCATCTCCGTGTAGAGTGTGACTTCAGCTCACACCGACTTAGCGTGGATGAGGAGTTCACTTCTATCAGCGTCCAAGCAATGTAGCGACCCCATAATGCTTGAGTGCTAGAAAGAAAAAGAAAAAAAAAAAAACACCAACACCAAAAACAACTCTTTGCCGCTGTAGCCAGGAATCCCAAGTTCTTTCTATTCTTGATGTCATGAATCTCAGCCCTGTATTTTATGCTCTCCTTTGGATATGAAGAAATAATGTGTCCGTGTTACCACGGTAGGTAGTGTTTGTCTTAATCGGATTTCCGTTGTGATAACAACAACCATGAGCAAACATAACCTTGGAAGTAAGAGTGATTTCATCTTACTCTTCCAGCAGTGAGGGAAGTCAGGGCAGGAACCGAAGTGAAGGCCATAGAGGGGGGCTGCTCTCCTGGACCACCCAGAATGGGCCAGACCCTCTCACATCAACCATCGATTGAGAAAATGCCCCACAGACTTGCCTACAGCCCAATTTTATGAAGGCATTTTCTTGATTAAGAGTCTCTCCTCTCAGATGACCTCACCTTGTGTCAAGTTGACATAAAAGTAGCCAGCCCAGTGTTTTAATATGAGAGCTTTTAAATCTTCCATTAATTCCAGATGCTTCAAATTTTTCTATTAATGATTCTAAAACTAGAATGTCATTGTGGGAAAGAAAAACACAACTTGATTATATCTTAGACAACAAGGAATTAGCAAAGGAATTCCTCATGATTCCTCATGATTGATCAGTAGAAGGAGCACCTCTGGTTTTAGATCAGAAGAAAAGTTTATCTACCAGAAGGGTGGCAGAAGTATGGAAACTATTTTCAAATTAATTACAATTGAAATCTTGAGAGCTGGAGGGAAGCCGTCTCTCATGTCAGTGTTAACAGCACTGAAGACCTCAGATGGGGTGGAGATCAGACATAAATGAGAGGGTCAGGGCTTAGGAATGTGACGGAGCTCTGGGATCGCCTCAGCACAGGCACACAGGAGGCCGATGGAGTGAGACGACAGAGGGAAGCTGTGAGAGTAATGGGCGGGAGAAAAAGGCCTGGTCCAGGGCTGGGAAAGTGCCTCCTGGTCCTCCAGCGGGTGACGGATGGCTGGGGAGGCCGGCACTTCATCACGCCTTGATGGCGGTCATTAAGGAGCCTCATCTCTCTCACTCGGGTCAAACTTGCTCTCAGAAAGTTATCAGGGGACCAGAGTAAATTTATTTTTAAAAATACACACTGAGTTTTTTTTTCTCTTAAAGCCAG